TCACTTTCGCCTTCGATGGTTTGATTCCTTCTCCCGTAAATCTGACACCATAGAACTCAACTTCCTCCTTTCCAAATTCACATTTCTCCAATCTTAATGTTAATCCATGGTCTTGCAGACGTGTTAGGACTAGGTCGAGTGTTCTGTTGTGCTCGTTTCGATCTTTCCCACCAATTAGACAGTTGTCTCGATTACTCTTTACGTGAGGAATTCCCGCTAGAATCTCATTTATTCGTCTGTCGAATTCATCTTGGCTGGTTATCCATCCCTGTGCAAGCGTTTCGTGCTTCAAATTTCCCCAGGGCGTGGTCACTACTAGGTATTTTTTGGAATCCTCGTCAACTTTCATTTGGTGATAGCCATTGTTCATATCAAGATGGGAAAACACTTTGTAGTCTCCAAACGTTGCCGACAATTCGTAGACCAGGTACGATGCGGGTTCTCGATGATCCTTTGTTTGCCACTCGGAAGTCTGCAGTGATGCGAACATCATCATCTCCTTTTGGTGTGATGACAAGTGGACTGGCATATGAAATTGGTTCTCCTGGTTTATTCCAAGTCATTATCCCTTCTTGAACAAAGTAATCCAATTTCTTCTTGGTTCTTTCTTCGAGATGGTGTGGGACAGGTCTTGGAGGTTGTATGACTGGTTTTGCATCGGCATTCATCTCGATATGAGTGAGGATTGGCTCTCCTGTTTCAGGATTCTTTAATGTCCCTATACCTTGGAACATCTTCTTATGTTTCTGCAGGATCTTTCTGAGCTCTTCCTGTGGTACTTTATCATCAGGTTTACACTTTCCTTCTTTGTCATCGCTCTTTCTCGCGTCAACTTTCTTCACAAACTCTCTCTCAGCGCTGTATTTAATCATACCAAGATTCATTAGTGTTCTTTCTGATAATAATGGGAATTTATGAATACCGTCCTCAATAACGTAGAGATCAGTGAGTGTTTCTGCGTTCTTATTTGACAACTTTGCATCTTTAATTGTAGCTATGACTTCCAGCTCTTCACCATTCAGGGCGTAGATCTTCTGTTTTGGTTTCTTTATTTGTTTCTTGATCTCAGGATTTGCCTCATGAATTTTCTTGAAATCTTTAATTGAGATTAGGTCGACATCAGCGCCGGTATCTGGATCAACGATAATCTTGGTTCCACAGATGTAAACAGGTAACAAAATGTTGCTAGTATTTTGTCCTTTTACTGCCCGTATGCCCGATTTCTCGCTCACACATTTGTAAAACTCAGGATCGGAATCAGAAGAGTCGACAGAATCTTGTTGGAAATCATTCATCACAGAACCACCATGCAAGCCAGCAGCTTTTACTTGCTTCGATCTGCTGTCGGGTTTTCTTGAGAAACACTGTGCACGGAAATGACCAATCTTTCGACAATTGAAACATTCTTTTTCGGCAGCTGGGCATGTAGAATGTGATTTGTCACGACCACACTTCGTGCAGGTTTTGTTATCTTTCACGTCGCTGACGGGTTTTCTCGGGTTTTCACGATTTCTAAACGAGTACAGCTTTTGCGAATTTCCTCTCGAGAATCTTTTATCAGCTACTCTTCGTATTTCGAGTGATTCTTTCTTAATTTCCATTTTCATTTCGTTTCTTTGTGCTTCGACGTCTTGCTTTGTAGTCGCATACTTTAAGAAGTCTTCGAGTGTCCAGTTGTTTTCTAACGCTTTCGCTTGAAGGCTTTCGTCTTTGCACGTTAATATCAAACGGTCTAAAATCATTTCTTTGTCGTATCTGTGAAAGTCACACTCTTTAGCGAGTCGTCGAAGTTCGAGTTCGTATTGAGCAATAGATTGATTCGATTGTCGAACGGCTTTGTTAAATCTAAACCTCGCGTGCAATCTCGTGTTTTTCGCCACGTATACATGCTCAATTTTCGCTATAAGCTTCTTCTTCGCTATAAGTATTCGTCCAAGTCGCCTTCTGTTTCAGCTCCGTTCTCGTCTATCGAAAGGATTTTGTCGCCACCATAAACTAACAACGCTGCTTTCATATCGTCTGGCTTTACGATGTCGAAATATTTCATTTGAATCTCGAGTCTTCGTCTCCACAATTCCATTTGCATGTGGTTTCTAATATGTCTTCGTCTGGCTCGAATTCTTCGATTTTTAACGCCTTTCTCGATTTAGGAGGCATACAGCATACTAACTTTGTTTCTTCCTCGTCGCCAATGTTATAAACTCAAATATCGGTTTCACTAAATTGTATTTTTGACACGTACTTTACCGACTACATATACAGTATTTATATTAATCTAAGTCTAAAATAGCGTTTTATTTTTATGGGTTTTTTACTTTATTAACATAACAATATACTAGATAATCTAACTAATAATACGCTGCATAATCAGCTACATAACTTAGTAAGTTCCAACTGAATGAGTTCTTAATGAGTTCTTAATGAGTTCTTAATATTATAAAACGTTCATAATATTCTGACAACACACCCTAGTGTATAAAATCAACATTCAGTCTGGAAATTATTTATATAGCATAATACAACATATCAGATTTGATTGACAGGCGTATCGATTTCGACCAATGGCGTTGCCGGCAATGGGAATTTTGCGTTGTGTGGGCAACGCGTATTTCGTTTCCCGATGTGTTGTATGCAGTCCCTCCCTTCCCTTCGCATGCCCGAAAATCTAAACCCGCGGAAAGGAGGGACCGCTTGCAGTCTAGTCATACAGCAGTTTCATAGATATCAATATGTGGATCAAATACTGCGTACCGTGATATACTTATATCCTACAACACTGAGAATTGCGGCCAGAAAACCAATAAGAATAGCTCCCCATGGTTCAATGATCATATTAGCAAGTGTACCAACTGCCACACCACCAGCCAGAGTAGCATTCTGAACATGCACCTGTTGAAAAATACATTAAACTGTTAGAATATTACATGCAGCCGGTGTACTATAGTTTGAACGGTGAAGTGTGTGGGAAGTTCAATAAAATCTATTCGCCAGATTTATAAACATTTTCAGTCTCACAAACAATGTGCGTTAGGCTGTCCGTTTACAACCAAATAAGTCAAATAATACCCCAGCATTTTTATTGTTCTCTGCAATCTGTGGTTCCTAGCAATCACAGCTTAATTTTGAACAGAAATGTGCCTCGGGGGTGTTTGTTAGAAGACGGTAGCCATATATTTCGGACGTCATTTCTAGTTCCTCGTGCCATTTAACCGTGATAAAGTAAGCACATCGAGCACACATAGAACTTTCTCCATTACCTACTAATTGAAGGAAAAATATTACATCAGTTATATAATTGAGTTCACTGATCATACCATGTCAAGTTTCCTGTCTTTGTTAATGAGTGCCGAGACGGCAAACGTTGTAACACAACAAGCCACAAGTGAAAGATATGTATTAATAACAGCTCTCTGTTGGTCAACTGCTGGTGAAACCAATGCACTGTTGAAACTTGGCCAGTACATCCACAAGAAGACAGTTCCTACATGATTACATAGAAAGTTATAGCTTTCTCTAGCCTGCACCATGGATAATAAAATAAATGGATTGGAAACTTCTGACGTCATTGACTGCATCCTTGTTGAAAAACGTGACGTCACGCGTATTGCGAATGTTATTATGTTACCAAAGTTCTCGTCATATTTGTTGTTTTGCTATATTTTCCACTTTAAAAGGGTGCTCTTGAAGCGTAAACTGGTCTAATTGTTTTAAAAACATGCCTAAGCCACGACAAAGTATTCAAGGTAAATGTTTTTCGTCTTTGTTTTGTATTTTTTTACATTTATAGCTATGAAATTGGCGTCACAAATTTTAACGAAATTTGCGATGTATTTTTCACTGTTTAGTGCTTAAAATATTTGCTAAAATTGACTGGGAATACTTAGAGTTTCCATCGTAGAATGGCGTGGTTACATTTATTTGCTCTTTGACTAAAATGTTTAGCTGTATTATTGCTAAACATGCCGTTTTTGAGAATTTGATTTTCAACTAGGTTGAGGCATTTAACCACGCCATCAATCCCAGTAAAAACATTAGGTCACGTCAGCTAGTTTCCTATCCATTTATTTTATTATCCATGCCTGTACGCAGTCCCACATTTTGAAAAGGCCAGCATCATTTTTCAACATCAGTATTCATGTTTGACAGACGTGACGTAAGGATTTCTAAGACTAAGGTCAATTAACCTTTTCACGGCTGGGTTCCCGTGTGTGGCCGATAAGGCGGACTGAATTGATGGGGGTGGGAGGGGCTGTCCAATTACTTTACAGTTAGTAAATCTGCTAAACCTTTAAAAGCGTCAATGCTGCATGTGCAGGTTCTAGCCGTGTGGGGGCTCATTCACTCTAATTTTATTCATTCCTTTAACTTTCAAGTTGCATTGTTTATGTTTGCCAAGGAGTTAACCTCGCTGGAACTTCGAGTCCGTTCGTTAGCCCCTCATGAAGTTACTAAATTTTTGTGATTACTTTTACTCTATGTTATTCATATGTACTCATATGTTGTTTACAATTAACTTGATGAAAGTTTCTAAATTAATTATAATTAAATCACTTAGTTCGTGATTGAGTCGGTTTTCCCCTCCAAGCTTAAATATTCGTGGCGTTTAACCTATTGTCCCAGGGAATTCATTATTATTATACATTCAAACTCTATTCTAGTTTGTTATTGGTCAACAACGCATGCATAATTCTCATTATTATTTATTTCGCTTCGGCAGATAACATTGACTGAGGTCTGAATAATTCTTGATACCATGCTCAACCTCATACAACCCTGGGACAATAATCAATGTATTAATTGCTAGAAGAGGCAATTAACTACAACCTCGACCTCGGTAACCTTTTACCACGATGCTTATAGCTTGCTGCACGTGCCACGGTTAATAATCAACTTAGTTATACCTCGGTAACTAACCAGGTGATCCCGTGTTCGTATTTTAGCCAATCAGCGCTCAGAAAGGGTTGTCCGAATAGAAATCCATTTTGGTGTATTCAGTCAATTATATCTTTCGTTATTCTTTATGAAACTAGTTGAAATTTTGTAATTATGTTTGGTTATGAGAACTATAGCTCTGACAAAAATATGGAATCGAAATAAAGTATATTACAGGAGATATTCAGTTGTTTTAATCATAAAATGGATTTCTATTTGACAACTAGTGCCAGTACTTTTCCGTGTATCAAGATCATCTGGAACCCATTGGCATGAACATTTGAGTATTTCACATAGCTTGAACTGACTGTCGAAAGACAACCTTGTCAGCCAGCTCCGCAAGGACAGAAATGTTGACGAATTTTGAGATTTGGTCAGTCATATTTTCCGTATTCAAAATATGGGACTGCAAATAGTATATCATACTGATCGTTTTCTCATTTGGTTGGTCACCATTATCAATTAGCCTTTCTATATATACGGCCGATTTTCCCGCCATTTGGGGGGTTCTGACTCTCCCACATTTGAGAGTCTCCGCACCACAAAATATAAATTTTTAGTATTATAGTTGTTTGTATAATGGTAAATTTACAGCTACCACTTTTGAAAGTCCCTTTTCACGTTGTTTGAATTGTCTAGAATCTTTCACGAGGGCAGACAGTACCCCCAAAAATGGCGGATTTTGGCCTTCGTGAGAAACTTTAAGACTAATTGGATTGACACGAATTACCAAATGAGCTCATCATTTACCTATTATTATTATAAAGTCTCTGAAACTAACGAGATTTTAAAATTCTCCTATTTCCTATGCCGAATAAACCATTTTCCATCTCAAAGGTGCATAAAACTAGTAACGCTTATGGGATTTAGTGTGCTAATTATTCGCTTTTAAGGCTTTCATAGTATGACAAGATGCATTTGGATTTTTAATCATATTTAATGGAATGAATGGAAAATATACAAGCAACAAAATTACATTCTGTAAATTTCAAAGAGTTGAATCAACTCCAAAAGTGTTATTCTGTCACCAAAATCTCAACTCCTTGAAATTTACAGTAAAAGGCTGACTTCAACACGTGTTAATGAAAAATCTTCGTGCATTAGTTGCAAAAGACAAGGCAACATACGTAAACATTTGTGTGAAACATGTGTTTAAATCAGCATTTGTTGCAAGTTGAAGAAATTTTGTTGCTTGTATTTCTTGACTTGTACTGTCTCTATCAACTGACCAATCATGGCAAAGATATCTGAATGATACACTGATCCTTCCTTAGCGTTGTTATCAGTGTCCGCTGGTCTTTTTAACACGAAACTTAATGCCAAACCAAAGTAAGCACCAAAACAATGAATAACCATTGAACCACCAGCATCTGCAACCTTCAATTCTTCCAATAAGATGAACTCGTTTACAGTAAACATGATGATTTCAATAAATGCGATGATCAACAGTTGAAGGCGGCTGACTTTGCCCAAAACAGCACCAAATGTTATGAGCACAGCAGCAGCAGAGAAATCTGCAGTGATCAAGCTATAGAAAAGATGGAAATGACACGCAAACAATTAAACAACACCAGTTGCACCCAACAGATAGCTTTGCTACGCATAATTAAACATTTGTTCATTGTTTCAAACTTCATGTTTATTGGATGAAAGTTGACTTAACTAGGGGGGAACTTCATTGTCGCTAAGGTAAGGGTTCGTCTATACCAAATGAGAATGCGAGGTTGTTTATGCACCCCTCACGGTCAATAGACAACTAACTGTCTTGCATGTTAGATTAATTTTTGATCTAGCCAAGAAAAAGTAAATTCCCGTAAAGAACTTATTAAAATTAGTAAAATTGCAAAATTTGGTTAGAATATGTTGTAAAATACGGAAAATATAGCCTTGCGAAGTTTGCATATTTTGTATATGTTTGTCTTACGTGCGGAAATTGTTACCATTTCTAAGCCGAAAATGATAACAATTTCCGCACGTAATTCAAACATATACAAAATTTGGAAACTTTGCAAAACTATATTTTCCAAGCTTTACAACATTTTGCAACCAAAATTTGCAATTTTACTAATTTCATTATGTTCTTTTTAGCTGTAGTGTTTGATTCCCTTCTCTTTACTTAGATTAAAATTTAGTCTAACATGCAAGTTGTTCATTGCAATTGGTTGTAACCATTCCCTGGTTATTTTACCTTACTTCCTACCATAGTCTGGTTAAATTAACCAGACCGATTATTTTAATTTGTGTGTGCATGTTGGTGTTATGTACTTAGGTGAATATGAGTACATAACACCAACACACGACACCTTTGAGAATAGTATTATGTATCAAACGAGCAAGCTGCAAGCACTGTTTCAATGAATTGAACTCGAACCGACTTGACCACGTATAGCTCAGTTGGCAGAGCATTGGACTAGTATCCCAAAGGTCGCGGGTTCGATTCCCACCATGGCCAAGCTAACTTTTCAGCTTGCCCGGTGTGGATGCACACTCAGACTAACATCACAAACATCATATTCACCTGAGTACATAACACCAACACACACAAAATAATAATATCATAGAATACACTGATATAGAAAAAACTAGACTCAGTTCCGAAATATCATCAACTCGAACCGACTTGACCACTTAGCTCAGTTGGCAGAGCATTGGACTAGTATCCCAAAGATCGCGGGTTCGATTCCCACCGTGGCCAAGCTAACTTTTCAGCTTGCCCGGTGTGGATGCACACTCAGAGTAACATCACAAACATAACCAGACAATGTTAGATAAATAAATAACCAGAAGCCGTTATTTACAGTCCATCTAACATGGTCATGTTATTTAAACCAGGACACCCTGGTCAAATATAATTACCAGATTCATGGTTACATTAACCAGATTATGATATAGGGAGTGGGATAAGATAAACATAAAATTAACCAGGAATATTACTAAATGGCTATTTCTAGGTTAACGAGGACAATTTTAACCAGGATGTTTTTAGAGTGCAGTCTCTAAAATAGTAGATTCCCACGTTTTGTATGAAATGGCGAAATGCATGGTTTTTTGTTAGCATAAAATGAAATGGCACAAAATAGAACAAGATAAATTGACACCTTGTGGAAATTATGGAAATTATTTGAAAACTGGGAAATATATATTCTAAAACACAAGTATATAATTGTGCGTGTATGAAAGTATGTGATTATGTTCCGATAACGTCTTATATAGTTATCTATAGGAATGAGGAAGTGTATTAATTTAGAGAATAATAACTAATTTGTATATAAGTCTTGTACATAAGTTTTGGACAGAGTGCAACCCCAGTGACTGCTTTGATTCGGTCCCCATGAAGGTTTGCTGAGATTTGAAAATTATACATATATGTAGAAAGTACGGTATATATGTGAAAAAATGTTATCTTCTAATGTTTCCCACATACCTTTTCATGTTTAGTTTAATATCGAATCCAGACTGCCCACGATGCTCAATACATCCTTGAATAATGATATACCACTGAATGGCCAGGGCAGAAATAAAGAAGTTGTAACCAACAGCTCCATAACCATATCTCTTTAAGAAAGTCATCAGGAATCCAAAGCCGACGAAAATCATCACGTGAACATCTTGGAACACTAGATGAAAAATTGAACAGATATAATGATGATTATATGTAAAGCAGATGAATGCATTGGAATCATAAATGTACATGTTGAAGGATAATTTTGTAGATGGAAATTCTGAGTGAAAATTTTAATACATTTATTAGACCTAACCAGGAGCAGTTCTGGTAGGAATCGAACCTCGCTGCTTTGCAATTCCTCCAGTTGTAGAGCTCCAACTGCTAGTTCATGTATTATACTAAGGTGATGAAATTATATAAGGGCCGTAGGTTCGATTCCTTCCCAGGGCGTATATAGTTGCATTTTAATTCGCACCTGCTCTTGGATAGGTGTAAATAAATGTATAAAATTTACTCTCGAAATTTCCATCTACAATCCAATGGTTACATATTCATTGATTGTAAATAATCATTTCATTTTTAAGGTAAATAACCATTGTTCTGTATTTTTTTCTGCATGTAAATTTGTTCTAAGTACGACCTTTGAAAAACAGGTAACTGAAAGGCCACCGTATTAAAATAAGTTTACATAATAATAAAAGTAAATAATAATAAATAATAGCAGTAAAAATTGTAATGTTGTAGTTGAACACTTTTATTAATAACCTATTCTTTATATACATGCACATGCAAACTCTCGCACCCGGTCCACCTGCACGCCAAGGCAACAGAACAACAATGAGCTTATATTACATCGTTTTGGACTAGCAGTGTCGTTTTGGACTAGCAGTGTACCAAGACCAACCGGGATTGCATCAACAATCACTTCTGTGGTTTGGTGAGGATCGAAGTACGACATGACTTGGTTGTCAGTGAAAGCTTTCTTGAGTTTGTCAAGGGCTACTTGCTCTATTTCTTCCCATTTCCAGGTTGCGTCGTCTTTTGTCAAGGCACCCATAAAGGAGCTGTGATATCAGCATAACCGGGTGTGTAGCGTGACAGGACTACGTGGAGGTGTGGCATTCTGGATAGCTTCATCCTTCTTGTGGTCGGGGCGTAGTCCTTCCGCGCTGAAGATGTGACCATAGAACATTATTCCGATTTCGAAAAGTGGCACTTCTCTTTGTTTAAGCGAAGGTTGTGGGACTTTAGCCTTTCAAGGACTTGACGGAGGATGGCATCATGAGTGGTTTGACCTTTGCCAAAAACGATTATATCGTCGGATATGTTCTTACAGCCTGGTAGGCCAGTCAGTACCTCTTTGGAAGATCTCAGAGGCGGCATTTATGCCGAACAGAAGTCGTTTGTACCGTCGGAGGCCGAGGCGTGTGCTGAAAGTGGTGATGTGCCGGCTTTCTTCTGCATGTTCAAGTTGATGGTAGCCAAAGGATAGATCTAAAGCTATAAACACGGTTGCATCATTTAAATCAGCTACCAGGTCATCGATTGTGGGCATCAAATGTTTTTCTCGTTTGACCGCCTGGTTGGCCTCACGCATATCAATACATATTCGGACTTCGCCCGACCACCATGGGACTGATCCATGGTGTTGGTCCATCAACCTTTTCGATGATATCTAACTCATCAAGCCGTTTGAGCTCTTTCTCGACATCAGATCGAACGTGGAATGGGATTCGACGGTGGGGTTGTTGTTTGGGGGAAACATCAGGATCAATGTGCAGTTTACCAGTTTTACCAGTTAGCTTTCCAATGCCAGAGGAGAGGCATTCGAATTCTGGGGATACTGATTAGTTGAAGATAGTTGATGGGTAGTGCTGTTGATCGTAACTTTGAGCAAGTTGAGTTGGCAGCCGGTGGTACACCATGTGGTGCTTAGCAGATTTCCAGAGTTCCCGTGAACTACATGGAATTGGGAAGAAAGGTGCTTAGAATCAGTGGAAATGTTGGTTTCGATAACTCCTTTTAGTGGCAGTGGACGTAGTGATCCATAGGAATCAATTTTGTGGTTGGCAATGTTTACGTGGCACTTTGGTGGTGTGGGTGTTCCAGAGAGATTTGCGATTGTGAAAACATAGTTTGGTTCGGAGTCGGAATCGGGTGGAGACATGGGTGACATTCTTAACATGCTGTGATGATGGGGGTTTGGTGCGGCAAATCCGGGCAAAATGTCCGATTTTCCCACAAGATTTGCAGTCCTTGCCTCTTGCTGGGCAAACTCTGGTATGCGAGTATGTCCCACTGCAGTTTCCACAGGTTTCTATGGCACGAGTTTGCTCAGCGCCTCTGAAATTACGTGATCGTTGGTTCTCAAAACGCGATCTTGGAGGCCTTATGGCTTCCGTATTTGGCTGTTGTATATTTCCGTGACGAATTAAATTGACGCTTGAGAATTCTTGTTGCTCGACTTGGCTGGCTTGTTTTTCGCTTAGTTCGATGGCTCTATCGGTCTTCATCAGGTTCGGTAGATCAAGTTGGACGTACAGATCAAAATAATATGGTCTTCGATTTCATTAGCGGGGTCGCTAAATTCGCACGTTTGAGAAAGATGGCGTAATCGAGTATGATAAGAATCAAGGGACTCGTCGGGTTTCTGTTTCGCTTGGCGGAAGTTAAAAACTTAGAAAGCCACATTAGGCCACATAAAAAAATAGTTGGTTAGTGTCCTTAGCTTTTGCCAAAAAATGGGCGGGCGGGCGGGCGCTGCTTTTTTTTAATTTTTACTAATTTTTGGTTTTGCCTTGGTTTTAGATCCGAAACTGGATTTTCTTGCGCAGTACAGATTTTATTTTATATATTTCAAAATATGATTCATATCGTCATTTTCGCACGCAATTTCGCAACTTATTAACACAATTGACTACAGTCAACAGAAATACTACATATATTAGAGCCCGTTGATCAATAAAAGTTTTTTTTTCTGAGCGGGGCCTTTTTTGTGGGCGGGCGAGGACGCTAACCAACTATTTTTTTATGTGGCCTTAGTATGAGGTGAGAAGTACTTGCAATAGATGAACCAGGCGGAAATCGTAATCTTAAGATAAATATTAATGCCCAGCATTATAGCCATAACATGCCCAGCAAGAGCCATAACAAAAATATAATTTAAAATATTTATTAGAAGGCTAACGTTTCGTCTTCAGGCATCTTCAGAGCAATGACATACAAAGCGGAAAACACAGAAATATGAATAAATTACAACTATTTACAAGATATTATATTACAAAAGTAGAAAAAGGAATGGATCAGAGTAGAAGTAGAGAAACCGAACTGCCTTGTAAGTTGAGAGAGGGTTTGAGTTTGTTAATGAGAAGACTTTCTCGAATGAGGAGTTCGTCTGGAGAAGAGCAACAAAAAATAATCTTAAAATCATTAAGAGAGGCGGAGTGACCAGTGCTATGAAGATGGAAAAGGATACTAGACATGGTCGGATTGCTGCTTTTACTGCCTGTTAGAGGAGAAACACCCAAGTGTTCAGATACTCGTGTGTGCAAGTGACGGACCGTTTGGCCCAAATACGTTGCGGAACAGCAACGACACGTGAAGGAATACACAACACGAGATCTTAAAGCGTTAGGAAGAGTTGAGACAAACGTAAAGTTGGACGAAAAACGAATCTAATATTAAGATGGGAAAAGGCCGAGAAACAAAGACGGGAGATTTGGGTGCGAATTTGAAGAGAGCGAGCGCCAGTATATGAAGAGAGAAATATAGAACTTTCTTAGGAGCAGAATGAACAGCTGGTTTGGGTTGAGACACATTTTCTAAAAATGTTCGTACGCAGCGATTAAAAATACGAGTTGAATAACAATTTTTATTAAGAATCTGGCGGTATATTTTTAACTGAGCGTGAAAGTTCTCATAATTGGAGCAAAGACTAAAGAAACGATGAATAAGAGAAGAAACTAAGCTACGTTTATATTGAAAAGGACTAAAGCTACGGAAGTTGGTAAACAGACCTGTGAAGGTGGGCTTTCGATAAACAGAAGTTTCGAAAACACCATTCTTACGAGAAATGCTGATATCAAGAAAGGGAAGTGTGGAACTAGATTCAACTTCACTAGTGAATTTAATATTAGGGTGTTGGCGATTTAAGTAAGAGAGGAATTGAGGTATATGATCAGCAGACTGGAAAATCAAGAACCAGTCACCAATATAGCGGTGGTACAATAATGGCTTAAAGTTGACAGGACAGTTATTTAACCAGTTAGTTGGACTAATGAAAAGACAGGAATATATTGGCGAATAAAGGACCTAAGGGTGACCCCATAGCAACGCCGTCAATCTGCTGAAACAGAACCCCATTAAAAAAAAAAGAGCAGTTTTTCACAGCAAGACCAAGAAGTTTCTTAAATGAGTCAGACCATGAAAGCGAACAGCATTAGAGATAAGCGGTTTGAAATTATGTCAATTGTTTCATCTAGAGGAATGTTGGTAAATAAGGAAGTCACATCAAAGCTTGCCATGACAACGTTGTTGGAATCGAGATTGAGGCTGAGTAATTCCTGGACAAACGAAAAAGAATTTTTAATCATATAAGCACCCGACAAAATGGGATTGAGGAGAGGAATAAAAAAATTAGCGATTTTATAGGAATAATGGTTTATACAAGAAAGATTAGGCCTAAGTGGGATATTGCCTTGTGGATTTTAGGTAGTCCGTATAAAATTCCAATCCGAGAACCACTCCGATATAGTTTTTCATAGGTTGCTTGCGTGATTGATTCTGATTTATTTAACGTCGACAGGAACCTCTTGACTTTGTTCTCGCGTTGTAACGTCAGTTTTACCGGGTCTTCGTCAGTGGCGTAGCCAGCCCGACAATTTAGTCCCGCTATGCAAATTCAAATTATTATCATTATTCATTTCTTTAGAAATTGATTGTTTTCACAGTCATTGAACACGAAAATAGCGGGACTAAATCGTCGGGCTGGCTACGCTACTGGTCTTCGTCTAGGCGTTGAAATTTGGTTTCATCTTCCAGTATGGCTTCCATTTTCTTGTTGTAGTCGTCCATGTCAAGAATAACTACCCCATTTCCCTTATCTAGTTTGACAATCACAATGTAAACGTTAGCTTTCTAATAAATATTTTAAACTATATTTTTGTTATGGCTCTTTTACGTATTTTATGCTAGGCATTAATATTTATCTTAAGATTGAGAAGTACTGGTTGAGCTTTTCCACTACGGTTTTGTAGTCTTCGTTGCTGCTAGTCGGCAGAGTATCGTAGATATCATCGACATCACGGCCAGCGTAGTGCAAGAACAAAGCTGTTTTTCTTTTGTCAGCTGTGATGTTAAATCCGCAAAGTAGCCGTTTGAATCATCTCGTGAGCCACTTTTTCCATCTTGGCCTTGAGCCAGCATTAGAGTCCTCGTTTACATTAACTTGTTACCAACGCAAGTCAAACGTAAATGTCTAGTGAAAATCAAGTTTTCCAAAATCTTTATGTTGATCGATCGATCGTCGTATTGTACAATTTGGGCAACGACCTTAGTACATATCAATGGCATCGACAGAATTTGTGCCTGTGTATTTTCTGACAAAACGGGTTTTTTTCGCGATTTCGTGGTAAAATTTCTGACATAAAAATAACGACGCCATATTTACATATTTTGTAGTGATGGACGATACCAGGATTTTTAATTCGATACCGATACTTTTAAGATCGGTATCGGCCGATACCTATTTCGATACCAAAACGAACACAAAATTTCAATTTTCGATACCGGAAGTGAGTACTTAAATTGCTAGTATCGGCTACTTTCGATACCTGCCGGTCAGCTGAAAAACATTTTTCATTACTGTATGTAACCTAAATAAAGCTATATGTAAACCAAAAGCCCGAAACGTAATAAATATTTTCTATACATGACTTGGCGCACCACATTTGGAATATTAAGAGTTATTTTAGTGGTTCATTAATTCTTATTCAACCAAGAAGTGAAATTAAACAGCTCTTTAAAAAAAGGGTGCAAGTATCGAACGGTACCGTGTCAGTAATCGATACCGATACCGCTGTTTGTGGTATCGCTGGTATCGAATACCAAGTACTCGGTATCGCCCATCACTAATATTTTGCCGTTTTGCGTGGGAAAACATGGCCACATGTGGCGATAAAATGACTTGTGACTTGACTTGACTTGGATTTAGACAAAATGACTTGTGACTTGACTTGAACTCAAACCAAATGACTTGTGACTTGACTTGAACTTGCAGGAAATTACTTGACTTGGACTTGCAACATAGGACTCGTTAACAACTCTGGTCACCGGATCAAAGAATCATGCATAATTTCTATTTTTAACATGGATAACCCTGCCTCGTACCCAGGCGTCTTTTTGTAAAAAAACAGTGATGCGCATAGGACGAATTTAGACATGGATAACCATGTAAAAATAATAAATTGAGAGATGTATTAGCCTCGATCCTTATCACCAATGTATAACGTCACCGGATCCAAACACTTTAAGGTGTTGACAGCGCTGTTTCAAATAGGCGTGGGAGCTTTGGGAGGGAGTCTTGTATTACCGTATCAGTTTCAGATATGGAAGGGGTGAAACACCCATGCATGGAACTTTGATAGATAGATAGATATAGATAGATAGATAGATGTTTCTAATTGATAAACCTTGCAGCCATAGGCTGAATTATGTTTACAATACATAAGATCCAATTACTGTAGCTATATTACACCAACATTACAAATTACATAAAATCAACTGAAGTTTGGTGAACAAGGGATAAAAGGCTACACAAACACCAGGCGGTAAACGAATCCTAGTTAAAAATACAATATATATATATATTGTATCTTTCTAATTTTAACTTTTTAACCGTTTGTAATCGTATATCATATATTTTTTCAAAATTTGTTATAAAATAGATGAAATAGCTTTACTGTATTTAGTCTGATGATGTCGCGTATTTAGTCTGAAACGTTACTTAATAAATATTTTTTTATATACCAAATGTTTTTTGAATATGCCACTTTTACGAATTATTTGCTTGGCAATAATATTTTTAACTAAGATAAAAGGCTACTCTAAAAGACCATTATTAAAATGGCCAGTTCTAATGTTTAGTGTTATTCAAATTGGCTAGAATTCTAGTGAACTAGCAATAAAAAAACTATTTTTAAAACTATTTGTTCCAAAGTTTGCGTTAAACTTATGTTTGGCCCTACGATCGGTGACGCAGGTGTTTCGGGGTGGAAGAAATTCATGAAGTTTATGATTTTCGTCCATCATAATGTCCTGGAAGAGCTTATTGGTTATCTTCTCTCTTCTGGTGCTAAGATGTTGAAGACCGGTGAGTGACAGCGCGTCCGTATAAGGAATCCAGGGCTGGATTATTCTCAACGCTCTCTTCTGAATTATTTCTAGATTATTAGATAAGTAACTGGACATAAACTGTTATAAAAACAGGACACGCATATTCCCAAATTAGTCTGACGCATGTGCTGTAAAATAGAACCAATTCATCAATCCCAACTTTGGCACGTTTAAGTTGTGTCAAAAAATACAATTGCTTTCTTGCTTTCACGATGGTTTGATAAATGTGATCATTCCATTTTAAATTGCTGGAAACGGTTAGACCAAAAATGTTTGCACAGGAACTACCTCCAAAGGAATATCGCTCACAATAACTGGATCGAAGTCGGCACTTGGTTTACAAAAACCAATGCGTAATATTAATTCTTTGCATTTCTTTTCGTTCAGTTGGAATTTTAGTTCAGAAATTTGAGTTGATAGGTCTTTAACTGTGATTTGGATCCTACTTTCGCTGTACTTGCTAATTCGTCTACGGTCGTGTCGTCTACGAACTTCCACATGTCACCACTAGAGGTTGTTAATTTATTGATCATTATTAAGTATAATCATGCCATCATGAGCCCAATTTCGTATCCTGAGGAACTCCGGCGGGGATTTCAGCCCAATCCGAATAATCCTCTTGATTTAGCTTTACTCTGTTTTCTACATGTGAGAAAATCTATGATCCAGTTAATAAACCAGTGCGGTAAGTTATATGTGTGAGTTTAGCAACCAATAAACCATGATCTATCAAGTCAAAAGCCTTTTTAAAGTGAAATAGGATGACTCTAACCGTTGCACCGTTTCCATCAGTTGAATAATTCCAGGAATGTAACATGCTTAACTAAGGTGGCTAAAATAAAAATTGGGTCTATACAACCAATGTAGTTCTCTATTAATCGCATTAAAGAACATACTAAAAGAGAATTGCAAAGATGCAAACAGTCCTAGTAAGGCAGCCAGTATATTAACTAAATTGTGCCTGACAATTTTGGTGCACTGGCCAACTCGCGCTTACGACAGCCTTTGGCTGGCCTAATGTTAACGTATATTCCGAACTCTCGCCGTTTTGGAAACCTTTTAAATCCGCTTTTTATCCCTTTTTCCGCGTTTTGTCCGATTTTTCGCATTTTATTCCTTTTTTGTTTCCGCAATTCCGCAGTTCCGTAATTCCAGATCCGTGTTTCATTCCAACCCACGAAACAAATAGTAGAGACAGGGAGTAGGCGGCCGTCTGCAATGCAAACTAATTACTTTCCTGTGTTTTAATATAGAAAATAATTAGAATGCATGTAAAGTTATTGATAAAAACATGTGTTTGTTATTAGCATTACTTTTCTATAGAGCATGTGCATGTAAAACTGCCGAGAACAATCCAGTCATTCATTGCTTAGATTTCATTCTGTGAGTCTCTTTCCACAAACTGCAGTCTTCCAGTATTTCCTTTAAAAATCCTTGGCATTTACCATATCCATGTACTTCATCTTTCTTTGTAAATACTTAATTAATACAAAATAGAATTTTAATATTTTTCAATTTATTTTCACTCAATTTATTTTTCAATATTATAATATTGAAATATTATATTTCAATATTTTTTTATTCAATTTATTTTTCAATTTATTTTTCAATTTTTTTTACTCAATTGAACACTGCGCGGCAGGTACTAACTTCATCAGCTGGTGCCAATTATTTTACCACCATAGTTGGCGCTAACCTGGAAAATTTTTGAAACCGTAGGAGTCTCTAGATCGTCGGAGTTATCTCTACCTCTTTTGCTAGGCCCTTTCATTAATTCTTCCCAGGGCCTTTTTTAAGAATTCGTCCGTTGGGGGAAGCCTCTACAAAAAGGGACCATACTATTCTGAATGTGGAGACATGACAAATGGTTGTTGGTAACAAAGAGTTTGGTGTGGTTGGGGGGTTTGGGGGCATTCTCCCCCACAAATTTCTTGTATTTTTCTACCCCTGAGACTGCAATTCATGTGTTTTCTGAAACAGATTCTTGGATATATAGCGTTACATAAAACTGTAGACAGACTGAATCTTAAACTTGAATGGTATGTTTATGTAAATACCACAATTCGGTCACTCAGGGGTAAGAAAAACGCTTGATAAACTTAGAGGAATCGACTCCCACGAGGCGCCACGCCGCCACCGTGGTTGGCGCCGACCGGGAAATTTTCCGTCTCTACTGTAGATCGTCGGAAATGGCATTTTTTAGAGTCTTCTCTACTTCTTTTGTTAGGCCTTCTCTACTTCTTTTTTAGGCCCTTTGATTAATTCTTTCATTATGATTTGTAAGCAGTCTATGCTATCCGTGAGTCAGGATGGATTATTACAAAAAATGTTAGTATTGATTAATATATATTATTAATATATATACGATTTGATTGCATTGTGTTGTAAATACCTTAGATTTTAAACATTTTCCAGTGGATTGCATATCTCAGACCCTACAGATTTGAGTTGCCGGAAGGCTCGGCTAAACTAAAAGTTAGTGATTGCAGGGGTGTAGTAAGCAGGGGACCCACCGCTCCTCAACCCAATATTTTATAAGAGGGGAGGGGGGGGGGCGGAATAGATTTTGCCCCCCCCCAAATAATTTAATTTTAAAAAATTGCAACCAAAGAATGTTCAGTATTTTTAAAAAGACAAAAAAAAGCAAATTTCAGTTACTAGAATATCAAAATTCCCTGCTAAATTCCAAGTTTTACTTATATTTTAAAGAAAAGAGACTTTGACTGGCGGGGGAAGGGGGGGCAAAAATGGTAAAGTGGGGGAGGGAAAGGAAGGGGAACCATAGGGATTTGAAGGGATTTTTCCCGCCTGATTCTTTCATTATGGTTGTGAGTCTATTCTATCCGCGAGTCAGGATAGATTATATATTATTATTAATTGGCTGGTCAGCGCAATTTTTGGTCAATAATTTTTGGTCTCTAAACCGGCATTGTGGAGGCACGTGAAGAAAAATGTAAAGGTCAAAATAAATCACCTTTTAACTGTATGATATTCGCTAACATTTAGCAATATCAGACCCAATGCGTTCAGGCCGTACACAGGGTGGGGGGGGGGATCAACTGCCCCCATAGGGAAAACTATATTTACGATCCATTTTTAAAATGTCATTCTTTCACTATTCTTTGGATATTCGGGACTTTTCTCGGCATATAGGCCTTGCTGCCCCCCTGCGTACGGCCCTGAATGCACAATTCGTCGGATTTGAACGAATCTAAAATTACGCTTCGAAGAATATTCGGAAGGGGAGGGCAGCATTTATCTTTTAATCATCGCACTCTTTATCTTTTGTCCTCGACAGAAATACGTCTTCTTATCGATTGAGCAAAATGTCTAAGGAATATCATAAAGATTTTTATGAAAATACGTGAAGAAAATGTAGTTATGCGTAGATAAAACATACGTGCCAGCTATATGCAGTGGCGTAGCCAGCCTGACTATTTGCTCCTGCTATGCAAATATTTATGTGTTCATAGACTGTGAAAACAATGAATTTCTAAAGAAATGAATAATGATAATGCTTTGAAATTTACATAGCAGGAGTAAATTTCCAGGCTGGCTACGCTACTGGCTATATGCACGAGGTTTGGCAGGTCTGCACCAACTAAAATATGGTATGAAGCTGAACGACAATTGATTTGAATTTTGTAGGGTAAATTCGTACAAGCCTGTTAAGCCCAATTCTATGTATATGAAATTGGAATATTATTTTTGTTAAATATATTAGGCCGCATAAGGGCTAACAACAAAAAATATTATCGAAGCGTATCATAAGTAATTTCAATAATATTTAATAATTATACACATACGATTGTTCTCTTTCTGCACTTTAATAACGTATTGTTCTCAATTATTGACCGCGGCCTAGGTCAAATATTTGTAGACGTCACTCTTACGTTTGTGGTATAAATGTTTCCATTCTACACATTACTGAACTAATTATTCTGCTCTATACCATTGAGTAAAAAGTTTCGAAATCCGTGTATAATATCAGCAACTGCAAGCATAGTCATAGTTTAAACCAGCCCAGATGGCTGTGGCAGTCACATGACCTTATGGTGCCAGCTTTATGTTGAAACATAGTTAAAACACTTGAAAAGTTCCCTGTAACAATTATTCGTGACTAAAAACCTTCATACCAAAAACAAAAATTATACCAAGAGTAATTATAAGCTTTTTTCAATTTCCTCTTTCAGATAATGAATCCGCAGAGGGTGGCCTTTGACACGTTTTGAGCCATATACATTAGTATGATACAGTCTTTTATTCTCTGCACAGGTTAACTACAACTAGACAAAACTACGTATTACAGAAATGATGTATTGATGTGGAATCTTCAGTACAATAAAACTTATGCAACAAAGTAAAGTCATTCAGCCATGGATTTAAATAATTCCATGATTATTGGCTCAGTCTGCAGGTTATTCCTTTAAGAATACCTCTATATCCGTTACTGTTATTATTTCTTGTGATATTAGTAATGTAAAAGTAGATCCGAAAGCGCAGAAAAACGTACAACAAAAGAAGAAGGCAAACAGTTGACTCAATTACTTTTAAAAGTAATAATTAAGAGACAGGATTAGACATGTTCAGGTCTACATGCAAGAATAAATAATTAACAACGTAACAATATGAGTGGTTTGTTGGATAATCTGAAAAAATAGTCATCTAATTTAGAAAGTCGAAATCATGTCAATGCGTTTATATCACAGCTACAAGCATGATTGCAAAATCTCATACTTTGCCTTATGTGATTAGGGAATTCAATGCGTAGGAGGTATACGCTGCGGCGACACGGCGACACACCCCTTAAACGCCCGAACAACTCCCGGATACAAAAGTTAAGTTAGTAAGACATTTTGTGAACATATATACACTCCAAATCATCGCCCCAAAAAATCTCAATACAAGGTAAGAGGTCAAACATATGATGTAAACCACACAGGTCCACAAAATAGAGGCCTGTCGGCAAAATACTTAAATTGTATTTATATATAGCGGTATTCAAGCATTGTGTCGACGCCAACGGGTTACAATTTAAACAATTATATAATACAATGTCCTTTATACTTTGAGTCTCTGACACCTTCAAGACCCTACTGTACTTAGAAAAACCTAAAATAGAGAAATTTGACTTTCCTAATAATTGTTCTGTTTGCCTTTCATATTAATTGTTTTGGTTCCTGTTATTATCACGATGTCAATTATATAAAATTCATTCTCAAATGTATGGGGAAAGTGCATGATTAACCATAGATTAGAAAACCGAAAGCCTGTGAGGCGACTCACCGATGACATTCACGGACTTTAGATAAATAACTGCAGTGTCAGCATGCTTAGCCATGATATAATAATGTAAAGCTCTGAATTTAAAGTATGCGGAATTACACCACACGGTTTAGGCAACATTCAAGGAGGCTGATTAATTATGCCTGATGTATAAAACGAGCACAGTATATACAAACATTTTAAAGGGATTGGGTGGCAATTTGGACTCTAACCCAATTCCCACAGTTGCATTGTTGAATTGTTATTGTGTGCATATGTCTTATATGATATTCTGGTAAAAAAATACAACTCAACAGTTGAGTTAGAATATAATTATATAAGTGTCCATGGCGCAAGATATTAAATTCCGAATGTGAGGTCAAACGAGGTACAAAATAACACCAATGGAGTTAAAATAACACCTCAAATAACAGTGGGCAAAACGCATTTTGTACGCATGTTATCAATCACTTTTGACTCAGATGATAACCCTCATGAAAATGTCAATATGTCAAAATCTCGCTTTACACAATTAAATAAAATACGAAAAAAAATATAAATAACTCGGCATTCAAACATAAATACCAAGAGTGGTACGTTGAATACAGTCACAGAAAATTAAAGTTAGATTTAAAGTTAGATTTAAGAGAATAAATGAAAAAAGAGTCGAACAGTTGCACAAAAACATATCTTTTATGTGGATGATAATACATGAAAATGGGGAAGGCGTTTATGGACAATTAACCGAAGGCCAAGATCGCGTGATTGCCAACTCTTATGCACCCTCATCCTTCTTTGATTTGAGCTTTAATCTTAAGCTTGTTTTTGTTCTAATTATAAATTAATTGAATATAGAGTGGCTATAATGCCAAACAGGACAAAATTACCGCTCTCGTTTTGCCAGTGGTGTATCATCTGCGCATTCTTACGAAATACATCAGATGAGAAGCAGCAGGCGTAGTCACAGCGCCAAAGCACTCGTACACGATATATTACTTTTTGGATCTGTAATATTTTGCACATTTAAACAGGCTACACTTTTTAGTTTCGGTTGTAATTCGAGAGCTAAAAGGTACAGAGCGCTAGTTTATACCTTGCTCTTGCTTTAAATTATAGAAAATATTACACAAACTTCGTACACAAGTTTTTGCATCTCTGTTTCCAACTGAAACGGCGAACAGCAGCGAAGAAGGCAGTGGTGGTCATGACTGCCGCGCAATTGACTGGAATTTAAAATATGTGTATGAACACAACACTACGCTAAATTCTGGCTAGGCGTTCCGTTGGGTTTTACCTTTTCTTTGCTAACACGAATACGTTTCACTGAACCACAGCGCTACTGGTCGGCCGCGGCAACCATTATCCAGATTATCATTGTATCACGAATCGTAGTTTTTCGTCATGATCAGATCGCACCCAGATTTGAACATCTGATCGAGTTTCAATCACACGATTCCCTTTGCGCTTTAATAATAGCCAGTCTGGCCATTTTGTGCGCGTTTTGATAATTGATTTTGCAAATTTGATTCGTTCAGCATGCAAGTGCATAACATTCATGCATAATATCTAGGGATTTACGTTAAAACATATCGGTGCTTCAAATATAAAGTAATTGATCCTCAAATACAAACAACGTTACGATAAAAAATTTAAATCTCTACCTACTTGGATATAAGATATTAATACTGGATCCCTGTGAAGGGCTTGTCGAAGCACCAGACTGCTTAGGATCATATTCCACAAGGGTCGCAAACAGGATAATCAAGATGACCTGGAACACTATTGCTACAACAGAGAACTTCATTTTCCTGCGAGGTGTAGTCAGCTGTCTGAAGTGAATGACTTCAAGGTATAACACACACTACGGGAGGTTGGAATGTTTGTGCGTTTTTTTTTAGAATAGCACGTATTAATTCTTCATTGCCATTGGTTAACCGTTGGTTCATTGATATTCTTAAATAACATGTGATGCGTGACTGCGCGTCAACAAGGTTGCCGGAACTTTTGAAGTATACAAAGCTTCAGTTCTTCATATAAGCGCGTATGGCGATATGGATTTGACATCTTAAACATTCCCAGGAAATCATGTGTCGACACAGCGGTAGAAAATCTCTCAAAGTCCTTTTATGTCCCGTTCGGTTGTGCACAAATTATGCAAAATTCTTAGTCTTGAAAAGGTTCATTGACAATTGCCAAAAACAAAGTATCAGGTTTCGTGGGTTTTTTTGCCATGTTTTTATTGTGATTTGGGAATTTTGCTCATGGCTGATGTAGCCTGCGCATAGACTAAACACCTCTCGAACACAAAGGTTACAGAGTTGCCTCTCAAAAAAATCTAATTCATATCAAGAACTAACGATTTCTTGACAGAAACGTAGGAAATGATAAAATCCTATACGAAGTGGTAGTCTGCTGGGTTTCTCTTTCTCTCACCCATGCTATCCCCCTCCAAGTTCTCTCGCCCTCTGAAAGAAAACGAGGAAAGCTGGATCGGAGGCATCGTTGGCGTACCAACGTTAAAATGTTCATCTACTCTAAGAAGTAAAAATATTCAACTACATCAGTTTTACCTATACTTAATCATCGATATCACTCATAATGATATGAGCACGTTCTATAGACTGCAGCGACTATATTCCAGCCATTCCTACCAATAATCCATGAATTCCATGAGGATTTATTTGTGTACGCCCTTGACTTGTTGGAATTAACTGTATTCGCTTTATTTTGTTCTCCCATTCCTCTTTCCTGGATATGCCCATGATACTCAGTATTTTTGTTAATCATTTTGGATTCCATTCACAGGCAGATTTATCGCAATCACATTAACAAGTAACAATTCAATGAACCGGTGCAATAATAAAGATCAATAAAACAGCAGCAATCTCTGCTCTCATACTGTTCGTAATTCAGTTGGCTAATACAGTAATGACTAGGACGGCACTCTCTATATGGTATCACCTGAACATAGTAAAATTCCCACACACTGTTAATGCCGGCCAAAGTTTCAAAGTAAGAGTGCACCTCGATGGTTGAATCAACATATTTATACCGCAGTACCAACAGCAACACCTCCTGCCAGAACAGCGTTTTGAACGTGTGCTTGAAAAGAAAATGGACATAGACGAAGGCAAACCTTGAGCAAACTATAGATTAGAAATACAAGATAGTACATATTTGTCAGAAATACTGAAAAACATAAATGAACCGACTGAATGAACTGTCCAACATGATAATGGAGCTACATCTGTGCATTATTGTTTTGTAAATACATGTCCGTGCATTGTTGCATGCTCTATTTTGATTGGATGCAAAGTTCATTAATTATTCACGAATTTCACAAAAAATCCAGAAATTTCAATTTTTTATTTTTAAGAAATGCAGGGGTGAGCACGCTGTCGGTCGTTGGCAGGAGCAACCAAGGTACTGTTGAATGATGGCCAGTACCGATCTGGGTATGTACTTCATTTTGTACGGATATTTTGGATCCGTATGCATGTCCCTGATCCTAAACCTATAACCCTAACCATCTATCCCTAACCTACATCTTGGATCCACACCACCCTCGGTGACTGTTAAAAACCAGGCACAATCATGGGCAGGAAAATATTGCTCATGCAACCAGGCCTGTTTTCAACAAAACTATTACATGCTAGTAGGCGTTTCATTTTTGCTGTGTAGGACGCCAGAAAAAGCTAGTTATTACTAGTGAGAAATTCTAAGTTGTCAAATTTTTACTGATCCGTATTACATAATGTGGCTTTATTTGACGGAAGTGGCTCTTACCCTTGTAACTTCCTAATTTTATGTTGATTATCACTTACAATCACAATTAAATATTTATCTTGAAAGCCTTTAACAACGACTTCAAGGACTTTTTTAAAATACTTAATAAGGAGTAAATTTAAGTACTATTTAAAATACGCATAGCAGGTTTTATCATATTTAAAATGCGAGTGCGCAGCACGTACTTTTTCGATATATGTGATAAAACATATATAAAGATTAAAGAATACTAATGAAGATGAGTTTTATCAGGTGTACTCTATTCACGTGACATATTATAGTTGACATGATTTGCCAATAGGCTTATGAATTATCATTAATGAGTATTTGAAGCTGTTTTACAACCTTTAAAGAATTTTACCAGTTAAAATTTGTATTAGAAAAAATTGTTGACTGAATTATGTCGGAACATATAACGTCGTTTCGCAGAGTAGATACAAATAGCTCTGAGATCACTCAAACTTATGATGCCGCAACATATAGGCATAACATATAGCGTGACTGTAAGCGTAAAACTTGACGCTTCGATGTCCTTATACTCTTGCGCGTAGTTATATATATATAACCATCAACTATGCATGGGTCATAAAGCACTGGATAGGAAATGTATGATCATCCATGATCGGTTTTAAGCTTGCTGATAGCGTCTTAACCTTGCGGGTAAAAATATGACATCACTTAACCCGAAATAATTCCACGTTTAGCAATAACACAGCCGCTGAACATTTTAGTCTGTCAAGAAACGTAAGAATAATATCATGGTTGTACATGCCACTCCAGTTCAAGATGGAATATTTAAATATTGTTGCTCGGGGAAATTAACTGGTAGATATTATGTACTGTTTAATAAACGAGCAGGAGTGTTTTATTAGGTTTAAATTAAGCCACGAGCGCGCAGCGCGAGTGACTAACCTAATAGTGTGTTTAAGATACCCCGGTTTTGGTGTACAGGTATACGGGTAGCATGATTTTGGTTAGCAATATTTTCGTTCATGCCTGTACCTTCACTCGTAATTAAGGTGCACAATTTTCGCATTATATCATTGTCTATTGCAAGAAAACAGAAAAAGTATGATTGAGTTACAGACATCAGTAAAACCTACAGTAGTAAACAAAGATGACATTAATCGTACTCGTACACCGCCGTGAAACCGGGTATCTTAAACTCACTAACAAAACACGACCTGCGAGCTTATTAAACGGCTTCAAACTGTCAAACACGACTACAAATTCAATAGATATACTTCCTATTAGTATTCTTTATATAAAGAATACTAATAAGGACACGACTACAATAGATACTGCTTCAAGTAGCCTATTCTTTATATAAAGAATACTAATTAGGAGTCGGTTTCAACAGGTTTAAAACCACTGCACATGCATGACATCAGTGGTTGACATGATAGCTCATGATTTGCCATGCAATAACTAAGCTTGTTTGAAACACTATATAAACTTTATATATATCATAACTAAAAACACTGGATAGGATTTTTTCAGCGTGCAGATGGCGTCTCAACTCTCAACCTTGTTTAAACTATTCCAAAAAATTATAACATCACTAAATCCAATATAATTCCACGTTTACCAATAAACCAGCCGCTGAGTGTTTTACTTATTTTTAGTCAAGAAAGGTATATAAGAGAATATAAGAGTACAACCATGCCACGATATACGATGGAATATCGAAATATTGTTGCTCATTTTTAGGGCCGGAATATATCAAGCATTATACGCGAACGCGTCACAAATTTCAATTAAACACTCAACAGTAGTTTTTGCGACGCCAATTAATAGATGGCTTGCGTGATTATACGAACAAAAAACCGAACTGAAACAAAGTCAAAGACGAACTACATTTACACGAATACTTTGCCATGACACAGGCAGGTTTAAAACACAATGAAACCATTTTTAATCCCAATAAGTGAAAAATGTAAGAAAATGGATCCGAAGAATAAAACGCGGTAAACTTTACTATTGAATAATATTCGTTTTATTCTTGACATGACGAAATTCAAATACTGAGGTCACGTCTGCTGGCGTCAGCTGTTTCCCGTCCATTTTTTTAACTACAGTATTCCTGTGAGAGTGAAGCAAAAGAACGGAAGGGTTTTACCTGTTAATATGTAATAATGCATGTAAACTTATGTGACAAAGCAAAGTTTGATCACTGACGTTTATGCATGCGTTGTAAGTGGAAGTCAGCCCATTTACTCATAAATTCATAAAGTGAACTGAAAAGGTTTGATTCTCAAGTACAACTAAACCAGTTCCCTTATTAGTACTTTATAATCAGTTATAGCTCTTTTTCCTGAACATGCATGTCAATTTAGAAAATAGGCCTACTATAGGCTACATGCCAAACTATTATAATTACTTATTCACTTCTTGGCACTGAGGTCAATATCAAAGCCTGTCACTGTCAGTTCCCTTGAAATGCTGTACTGACAAAGAAGATAATTAAAAATATTGAGTTGACAGATTAGATTTATTAAAAACTTTTAGTAAAATTGCTTGCTTGCAGGAACGTATAGACTGGACTGCATGAGTGTGGCGAGGGTCACCGAAGGAGATGATATGTTATTACAAAGAGTGACATTTTTGTCAACACAGATGTCACGGTTGCATGCATAAAGCTAGCCGTTAAGGGGCTTTACTATTACAGGACGGCACTTTTTTCCCAGCGGTCTGGTATCATGTTTGCCACTGAGGCAGAGCGTCGATCTAGTAATTCGAAGGTCGCGGGTTCAAGACCCAGCCGCGGCAGTATATATTTCATAATTTCCAGTCTTAAAACCGTCTGACCGTGTAGCTCAGTTGGCAGAGCGTCGATCGGTCTAGTAATTCGAAGGTCGCGGGTTCAAGACCCAACCGCGGCAGACAACATCTTTCTGCTTGCGCTGGGTATGGAAATTATATAATACACACTCTAGAACATTTTCATCTTAATATATATATATATATATATATATATATATATATATATATATATATATATATATATATATATATATATATATATAGTACAATACAAGCGATTCAAAACGATACTAATTAGCTACATTAAGTGACTTTATTGAAGGCATGGCAAGCTTTTTGAAACTTGCATGGGTTGATTGGAAAACTGGGCAAACATGTCATGATAATGGATGTTATTATCGGGTTTCCGTCACCGGCTGAGAAACTCTTTTAAATATTCAGAAACTATGGGTACGTTTACAAACGGAACTTTTGCCAGAATTTCAAACATTTCAATGACGCAGCTATTTACCTATTAGCTATATATTAAGGGTATTATTGTTAACCAATATATAAACCCTTTTCATTAAAGCACAAAGAACACCATTCTAATTTCTCAGTCGTATGTGAAGAATTTTACAAACAATTGACGACGTGTTAAAGCATACCCGCGAGTTACACCCTGAGGTGTCTTAAATGTCTTTCAATATCTTGGCAGAGAAGTTGGTTTGTTTTTGGTCCAAGCCCAAGAAATTTTAAATCAGTGATATCTTCCCTATTTTGGGTTGATATATGAACACCAGCTCTTGTTGCCTGGCTAGAGGAGTAGCGAGAGATTTAGGCCTGTTTTATACACCCATTTCATAAATGGCTGCCGATTAAAAATTCTTTTATGTGTATATAAATTGGCCCAACTAGCCTCGTTTCTGGGTAGAAATTCCTTTGAAATCTTAACATGAGTACGAGGCTAGTTGGGCCAATTTATATGCACATAAAATAATTTTTAATAGGCAGCCATTTATGAAAAGGGTGTATACGTCGAATTTTGGTCGCGTCAAATGCAATTAAGACAATAGATAATGAGACTGATGATAAAACTCGTTAAGCTTCATTATCTATTGTTTGAATTGCATTCGACGCGACCGAAATTCGGCGTATAAAACGGGCCTTATAGAGATGAATAGTATTGAAATGACTAGACTGCATAAATGGAAAATACAAACAAACTCTATTAAAGTCGTATAACATGGCTATATTATTAACATCCTAAACAAACTCTATTAATAAAGTCCTACTCTAAACAGACTCTATTAATTAGTCGTAGCCTACTATATTATTAACATCCTAAACAAACTCTATTAAAGTCGTGCTACTTAAGGTGTAGTTTGAGTTTAATCACATGCAACAAAAATATTGTATGTTTACATAAGGGACGGACCATTAGAAAAGTGATGGGGGGGGGGGGGGGGGGGGAAAAAAA